ACGTTGCGGGTGGCACTATGTATAGCACGTATGAATAGAGAATGCAATTAAAAACATTTAAGTAAAAAATATCATTTTTTAAATATCTTTAACGAATTTGAAGATAAATATGAATGAATGGGTGTGGTGATTTACTATATATAGAAAATTTCTTGTCTATACTCTTTAAGGGTAACGCCCGCGTAACTCTTTTCTATGGTTCTTTTCGTGTATTTTAAACCTATAAATTAAAATATTGTTAATTTTTTTTAAAATAAATATATCTGTAAGTTTAAATTTCTAAAATTTAAACTTACAACACAAACGATATTTTACGTATAAAGTAAGTTACGTACCAAGTTTCGAACAATGTTAATAAAGATAATAATTTGGTTATTTCCTAATCAATATTAAAAGCGTTTATAATTTTTAATAATAATCACTTACTCTAAATATCGAATAAGTTAGATAAACAGTTAAGAGAAGTCAACTGTTAATTACATGCAAGTGATGCGTATCCAAGTTTTATGACTTTCTTGAACTTTGTCCACTAAAATTGTTGTCAAATGAAACTTACACTCGAGACATAAGTGATTGATGGCATTTTTTCATTCAAGTCATATAAAGTTTATCGATTTGCATAAAGCAATTCACTATTTATTATTTTTCTTAAAGACCTTTTATACATCAAAGTATCGATTTTATTTTCACATTAAGTCATACTTTCGTATACATTATATTTAACTTTCTTATCAATAATAATAATATGAATATTTGAAGTAGGTTGTTAGATATAAGAATTTTATTTTGCTGACTCTAAACTTTTGTAAAGACATTTTTTTTTTCTTTTGGTGCAGTCGAAATCTTCTTTTGCACGGTTGCACTTTTAAGAAACGAAACACGATGCTGTTTACTTTCTAAAGAATTTCAATTGGCAAAGACCGAAAATATAATCGGATAGGAGGAGAAATAGCAATACATATCAGTCACAAGATGCATTTCTAGTTATTTATATGATAATAACAATATATGAGTTAATATAAGAGTATAAATTTGCTCTTATTTTTCTTTTTGTAATAAAAAAAAGTAAATGGGAATCTTGATTCTTTTGCAGATTTAAAACTTTGTAAATATTTTTTTCCTATTTTTATATGACAAAATATCTTCCCCTCTAAAATATAAAAGTAAAACAAAAAGTCTCTCTAAAATAGGTAAAACACTATACAAAATTAAATTTAAAATACCTCTTAAATAAATGCAATAATAAATTAATGTATTAAATTATAAAAGTGTAATATATATATGTATTTTCTATTTTTAAATTTAAAAAAAATATGTTTTTCTTTCTAAAATATAAGAGTAAAATACAAAATATTTCTTCAAAATACATAATTATCTTTGAAAATATTTCTAAAATAAATACGGCAACAACTAAATTAATGTATTAAATTATAAAAATGTCAATCAGGAAAGATTAAATTAAACTCATTTGCTTTTTCGTTGCAATTATTTAACTTTTAATCTATAAATAACAATTTTAGTAACATTTTATGGCAATAAATCGTGAGATTTTCTCATAAACTCGCATCAATATTTTTCGATTAAATGCTTAATCGATACTTAGCGAACGATAAAATTTTCAGATTTATATATATAAATAATTCAGTAATTTTATTTTAGAAATATGGAAATAAACTTGATTTTTTGGGTTGTAATACAAATAAAATTTAATATTAATTTCGAAATTATTTTCTTTATAATGTTTAATAATTTTAATTAATATATTTAATATTAAAATCAAAATATAAAATTTAAAAAATCAAGCTTCTTCCCTTATGATATAGACCTAGAATAATACAGGAAATTAGTAATTTATTTAATGTATTCTAATAAATACTGAACATTTAATCATGCGTATATAATAATAGAGATATATTATTATTGTGATATGTTTATTCCATTAATTCTTAAATGCCTACTAGGCTTCTGGTGATTCTCCATTTTGATATACAACGTTATCTTCTGGCTGCAGGAAAGATTCTAAAAATAGAATCGATGGTGAAAGATGGTAAGAATCAGTGCGATCTGATCTGAAAAATTGAAACTGAATTTTAAGATTAATCTCCAGCTAAACATATTTTCTACTTTCAAACGTATAAAATTGGCTGTTCTATACGAAAGAGAAGAAAAATGAAAGGTTAAAGTGTCTCGAAAAGTTTCCAAGATGTATTTTTGTTTTTAAAATTTCTATCTTTATATCAATTTTTAAATATATATAATAAGCTTATGTAATAATTTAACATATTTTTAAGTTTTAAAACTTAGTTTTATATACTTAAAATTATAACTTATAGAACTCAATTCATCCTTTACAGCTTCAAATTTTAAACATAATTACTTCTTTTGATTGTGATAAACAGTTTTCTAAATACAGAATATGTTGAAAAATCGAATTAAAAAATAAAAAGAGAGCAAGAGGTCAGCCAATTCTGATGCTGTTAAGTCTCTTATCTGCAAATATCAATAGCAACTACATCTGCCCATCATATTCGAATAAAGATCAGCAAGTCAGCGGTAGACTTAGCACAGGCATTTCCTATGGGACTGTAGCTGACATATTGACAGCTGAAGGAAAGGTCAAAGGTAAACTAAAGATTTCGAAACCGAATTAAAATCCCCCTTCTAAATTTTTAATCATTTATACCGACCAGTCAAAAGATCGTTAAAAATAAATTAAAGAAAACGTCATCAGTTTAATATTTATAATGAAAAATCTCAATTTAGTATGAAATTCTATTAATGATATTTATAAAATTTGATTAATCATAAATATATTTCTTATTATATCGTTAAATTTGTAATTTTTTTTTGTTTGAATTACAATTAGAAATATTGTATTTTTGGAAAAAATTCAGTCAAGAAAATTTAATTGAATACTTTGGGGACTGAGCTTATTACTCTTGCTTTTTTTTATTGCTTGTATGTAACCATTAGTAGCAATTCAATCCTGTCTTATAAGTCACTGTCTGATAAAATTCGTTATATTGTCTCTAGTTTCAAATTAACTCGAGTCTTTCAGAGATAAATAAAACTCTAATAGATAATCTGAAATCTGATAAGGGAGAAGAATAATTGAAGAAAATCATTATTATCTGATCTAACAATTTTTCTACCTTTAATAATCTAACGCTAAGTTAATTCTGTATTAATTTATTAATTATATTTCTCGTAATTAGCATTTTCTAAGACAATTTAAAATTGAAATTTTCATAATATTTTACTCGGAATTGTCGAAAATTATCACACAACACTGAACAATTATGCACTTGATATTTACTTAATTAAAATTATGTTCTTTATTAAGATGCAGAAATTATTTACGCGATATTTAAGCCGTGATAAGTCTCATAAGTTTTAAAATAAATTTATTCCCATTTTTCTGTCTGAAAGTACCAATTATATAACGATAAAACTGTATATTTTCTTAATGATAAATTGTTTTTATTGAATTTTTTTTCCTTCCTCCTTTTTATTTAGATCAGGATCATCGCTCCCTTGACCTAGAGACGAATAATCAATGAAGTCTGGCCATATGACTTTCTATTTATAGATAAAAATTCTGTCTGACAGACGAAATTTCTTTGCATAATATATATATGTATATAGAAAGTTTGTGACAGACTACTTATCAAAAATTTGACACGACAAGTTAAATCTTTCTGACTTTAATGCATTATCTGCATAGCAGCGTACACAGGTCAGGATGTCTGCACGAGAACCTTTACAATATATTAACTAGTATAATATATTTCTCTCTATTTGTTAGTCAAATGCCAGGTTTAATGTTCTTCAGTGATACATTTTATAAAAGTTTAAAGTTTTATCCACGTATTAAATGAGAGATTTAAGGAATTGGAACATTTTTACTGCTTAATAGTGCGATCATTTTGTAAATAAATGATGTAAAATTCTGATTTTTCATAAAATAAGATAGTAAATGAGACTTATTTAAATCTTTTTTAATTCGCCAATTACGAATTTTATCTTAAAATTATAAATTATAAACTCTGTTTTTTTGAGGGGCCTCCAGTGTAAAGAAGCCCTTCTCACTTGAGAAGCGTGCGAATCGGAAAAAATCCCTATTTATAAAGTTATAAATTACAGGGTTTATTTTCTGTCTTAATATGTAAAAGTTGTATTTTATTATTATTATTATTATTATTATTATTAAATATGCCTATTATAGAAACATCAAAACATTTAGATTTACAAAGGTTATATGCAGTCAAACCTTATAACAATGGCCACAGACTGAAACATAAAAGAAAAATGGCAGTTGTTCGAAGCTGGCAATCGTTTATTGGTTATTTTGTACGCATTTTTGTTCAAAAACAAACATTTTCTATAAAAAATGGCCGCTATTTAGAGGTGGACGTTATTGGGAATTGGGGTGAATAACATAAAATATCATACAAGTGTCTAAAGAAATTATTTTATTGCTATAAAATCATGATATTACAGTTGACCTATATATATATATACTTATTTATATATATATCTGGACGTTTTTGACCCCGACAAGGGTCGTGACATAACATATTTTTCCAACATGGAATTATATAAACCAGACATCCTTCTCTTCGAATAGAGTTTAACTTATCGGAAATCAATAAAAATATCTATATTATGAATTTTTTTTATAAATTCTTTAACTATTTTTTAATATAAAATAATAAATTATAAGAAAAAATCGGGGAAATAAATTCNGCTGTATTTATAAAATAATACTTATAATGAATTTAAATTTAAATTAAGCTTTAAACTAATTAAAATTTACCCAGTGATTTTCATAAAATGGCCATATTTCAAAGTTACTCCTTAAATTAGATTTAATTATCCATGATTCATATAAGCAATGCTGACCAGCATCACTTGATATGTGAGTACAAATATCTTAAATTCTAAGAATATTCTTATAAAATAGATGTTTTTTTTCTTTATTTTTGTATTTTTATTTTTCTGAAAAGTTTCTAACTTTCTTTTCTCTTATATTTTTTCTTCTTTTTTTTCTCCTAAAATTCCAAAAAATGTAATAAATATTATCGTAGCTCTATATTCTTATATTATATTACAACATATACACAAAATGTTTCCTGTAATTCTCCTCATCTTCTCCTTTTGATCATTAGATAATTGTATTTTTACTGATGACTTATAGCTGTAATCACAAATCATCGAATATCAAAAGGTTGAGTCCTTCATAAAGAAGTATCAAATAATGCCAATGACTTTGCTATTGTTTCGTCCTGAAATAAAATAAATAAAAATTAATACATAATAAAATATATTGTTATAATATCTTTATTAATGAATAAAAATATATTTTACAATTCATTGGTATTTGTTCGCCTCCTAAAATGGCGCTAAATCGAGTGTCGCGCTAAACTGAACTGTCTCAAACATACACAGTTATGAATTTAAAATTAATAAGTTCTGAAGGTTTCTCTATTTAAATTTTATATGAAAGATCGATTCACAATTTAATTGACGCTTTACGAGGGTAGAAGGGCGTTATATTGAAGTTTGACTGTACATATATATACTTAATTCTTGTCTAATTTACATTAAAACATAATTATGATATATATAAATGTTCAAATGTTATTATAGATGTGTTAAAGAGCTACAGTTAAGCTTATATTTGTGTGACTGTTTAATTTTTAAATAAATATTTTTTATAACGTCTGTATAAAGATAGATATAATTTTATTTTTAAAATATAAAAAATATTTTAAAAAGAATTGAATAAATAATAAAATAAAAATTATTATTTTTCTTATGAAAAAGAAAAAGAGAAAAGATATAGAACAAGCGTTTTGTTGACGTCAATGATATTGTATCTGGAAGTGTTGCCTTAGGGATGACCACGAAAATTGACAATGTCTTGCAGCCAAAGAAGACTTGGACGTTGATCTAAGGATGTTGAATCTTCTCTAATCCTCTCTTTTCACCTGACACACAAACAATTGTGCAATATTTATTTAAAACATCTAAATTTATCTGATTATTTTTCAATCTTTTCTTTTACTTTTTCTTTTTATATACTATAAATAATCGAGGGTAGTTGGGGATTTTTCCCTGGACTCGGGGAAAATTTTGCGGCTTGTAAAGTTTCTATCCCTATAAAATTAATGTTATTTTTACTATTTAAACAGTTTTTTTATTAAAGAAACATTTTACGAGCTTCATTTGTTTAAAAAAATGGCTAAAGGGCCCACTCCGCTCCCGGGCCCCATACAAGCCCTCGAAGGACCTAGAAATGCAATTTTTATTGTTTGAATCAGTTCAAATAATGTCATTCTTTAAATCCTAAAAATCCTTTAAAAAAGTATTTTTTTTCTTTTTATAAACTTTTAAGGAGATAGGCCTATTCACTATAAGAAACCATGATTTTGTTCATATTTTGTGCTTTAACACAAAGAAAATACTTCACAAAAAATTGTTGAATTGTATTAAATATCTCTAGAAGAAAATTAATTTTTAATTATTGTATGAAATAATTTATGCAAGAATTAAGGAAATAGACAGCTGTAATATGATTTTTGAAAAGCATTTCACGTCGAAAAATATGCAAAAAAAGTGAAAAGTTTAAGAAATAAATTCTTTTTTAATTACTTTACTCTTATAAAAGTTTTAATTATGAATTAAGAAGATAATAAATGATCATACTTTCAGACAAATTTCCATAAATTCATCTATTGTCACCACTCCATCTTTGTTAATATCCATTTTCTGAAAGTAGAAAGAAGAATGTGAATTAAGTGATAAAAATTTGATTAAAAAAATAACCAAAAAAAGTTCTAATTTTTTAAATAATTAATTAGACGAATGAACTTAAATAAGTGTCAAATAACATCAAACTCCTATAATTTATCGTATCAAACAAAAGTCAAAACTAAGAGGAAAAGAGAAAGAATTAAAATTTCAATTTAAAATTGATTTATCTAAATTTTAAAATTCAAATTGAAATTAAACAAACTCAGTACTAGATAATTATATTTGAAATTGCTTCATCAGCAAATTTATTAAAACTCTGTAAATTAAGGCAAAGTAGAAGGAGGAAAAAAAAACACGATTTATTACTATTATTTTTTGTTAAATAAAAATAATTTCGACAGAAATCAGAAGTATTTTTGTACAAAAAGAAAAAAAAATCTTTAAATTAATTTTGATTAAATTAAATTTATTCTCGACAGGGAATTGTTTATTTAAATTTTTTTTTTATGAATTTATTATCTTCTACATCGTTCTAAAAATATCGAAAGTATATTTGATAACAAATCTTTTCTTTGTTTCCTCCTTCCTATTAATAAACTTCAAGAATATTTTTAGAAATTTGATAAATACCAATATTGAAATTTCATACAAAATTACTTCTAAAACTCAATTAATTTTCTTATTTTAGGGATTTAAAATTACAGGAAAATGCATTTTATCTAGGTGCTATCGATTTTGAAGTCGCATTTGTTGTGTTCAAACAGAAGTAGTGAATCTATTCTTTACATCTCCATTCCAAGTGATGCTGTTACTATGGTAACGGATGATAATGAGTTGAAGTTATAAAAGGAATTTTATAATCCAGAAAGCGTGCGATGTATAATTATAAAATTAGCCAAATCTTTATTATAATATAAAGAGTTGTTCAGTTACGAAGAAAGAAAAGAGGCTCCCGATATATTAATTTATAATATGTAAAAGTTGTATTTTATTATTATTATTATTATTATTAAATATGCCTATTATAGAAACATCAAAACATTTAGATTTACAAAGGTTATATGCAGTCAAACCTTATAACAATGGCCACAGACTGAAACATAAAAGAAAAATGGCAGTTGTTCGAAGCTGGCAATCGTTTATTGGTTATTTTGTACGCATTTTTGTACGCATTTTTGTTCAAAAACAAACATTTTCTATAAAAAATGGCCGCTATTTAGAGGTGGACGTTATTGGGAATTGGGGTGAATAACATAAAATATCATACAAGTGTCTAAAGAAATTATTTTATTGCTATAAAATCATGATATTACAGTTGACCTATATATATATATACTTATTTATAAAAGGAATTTTATAATCCAGAAAGCGTGCGATGTATAATTATAAAATTAGCCAAATCTTTATTATAATATAAAGAGTTGTTCAGTTACGAAGAAAGAAAAGAGACTCCCGATATATTAATTTACAATTAAACTTCTTAGAATAAAATTAAACATTTGGTATCGCTATATTTATAAAATAATACTTATAATGAATTTAAATTTAAATTAAGCTTTAAACTAATTAAAATTTACCCAGTGATTTTCATAAAATGGCCATATTTCAAAGTTACTCCTTAAATTAGATTTAATTATCATAAAGGTAAAATTAGTTAAATACTGAGTTATTTAGCTGAATTTTTTAAATAAAATTATAAATTATCGATGATACTTTGGCATTATTCTTGAAAAATAATCTTATTTTATTCTCGGTTGTTCTGATTTAGTTATATCATTTTGCACTTTACTAAATTAAATCTTTAATGTTATATATATAGCAGCTTCATATAATGCGCTTATTAGAAGTTAAACGTGATTTCATAATAAAATTAAGCTGTTAAATAATGCTTAGTTAATTATATACCTTAAGAATATTCGTTACAAGAAAATATATTAATTATGATAAAGAAATTTTTGATGAGAATTTTATCTTATAAACAATGAAAGCAGTTTTATTAATTTTAGATAAAACGTCGATTGATTTAATTATAGAGTACAGTATATTACACTCTTGCTAACCAGGCCTCTCAATTATCCGGCCCCGTGCGCTTCCGTTATCATGAACGTGTTAGCCATGTCACACATCCTGTTTTCTTGTTTACTCGGGTTTCATCTCTGTGTACAATATAACGGTGCAACCAGAAACTTCAAGTAGGAGGCAAAAGTTTTTGCCAGTTTTCTGTTATAAAAATTATAATAAAAACAATGTTTTTTTCAAGCGTATGGTGCTTTTCATTATATTTAAATTTGACAACTGTTTTGGTGTTTTTTTTTTTTAAATTACTTTAGGGGAGCTTTTGTCTCGTGCTCAACTGGTACAGTATCTCATTTTATTACAAATAAAGAATTTAAATTGCAATTATTATGCGACTGTACATAATTTCACAATAATAAAAACAATACCTAAGAACGAGATGTCGTTTCATCTATTCCCTTAAGACAAGCTTTAGGACGACAGACAGGAGCACCCGTACATTAGGCACTTCGGGCACGTGTCCTTTATTTGTCGTATATTTTATATAATGTACGTACGATGCCCTTTTTTATAGTCTGCGGGCGCCGCTGCCTACACACTCATTAATTTAGTACTTTCGCTAATCAGGCATCCTATGCACACGAATGACCGGACTAGCAAGAGTCTAGCGTATACGATTTTTTAGAAAATAAAAAAAAACACATTTAATGTATTTTTAACAAGAATTTTCAGTTATCTTCGGCATCTCACCTGAAAGATCCTATCAACGTGCTCTCTGAGAGACTTCTCGTCTCCTACAGGAACGGAACGTCGTCCCATTAGAGCATACACCGAACAAATGATGTCAGTGAGTTCTTTTTTCGTGATGTAACCGTTTCCATCGATGTCATAAAGAGTGAAAGCCCATTGAAGCTTTTCCTGGAGGGACCCTCTGCACAATAGAGAGAGACAATGGAGAAAATCCTGTCAAGATAAAGAGTAAACGATTTATAGTTCAAAAATAGCATTAAAATATTTGAATTTATTAAATATTTCCTTTAAAATTTTAACTAAACTCCACTTTATCTGTAAATAATTAAACATCAGCGCATTTACTCTCGAATATCTTATAGTTGATCTAATATTCAATCTTCTGTTCCAAACCTGTCACTTTACATTCTAATTATACGATATTTGACATAATCTATACTTCAGATTACATCATTTTTGAAGGGATAAACACTATTTTCAATTCAAATAATGTCAGCAATATCATTAACTTTAAAGAAAATTGTTAAAATTAACTACGAAAAATATCGTTGAAATTAAATTTTACACAAATTCTTCTCTCAAATTTTTTAATCATTATTTCGATGATTATATATCGTTAATTTGCATTTTATTTTTACTTAAATTTAAATTTTATTATAATAAATCGAGTATTAATTTTAACTAAAAAAATAATAAATTATAATTTATTAATTACATTTATAAGAAAGTATTTTAAAATTTTCTTTCCTTCTATTTTTATTGAAGAATTTTAATTTGTTTTATTTTAAAATAAATCACTTATTGTAAATTTTAATTGACATTAAATTTATTTAATACTTCTTTCTTACACAATTATTTAGACTCCAACTATATAAAATGCAATAACATTTTAAAAATGAAGTTATTAACTTCTTTTATATTAAAATATTAAGACTTTGATCAATTTTAAAAACTTAAGGGAAAAAACAAGAATATTTTTCTAGAAATTTTCACGAAAGCGTTGTTTCATATGACAGTTTGTTTATTTCAGTCTTACGACACAATTTAATATGAGTATATGCAATGTTGAGTATGGGCCTACATCAATATGTATACTTTATATGTTCTTTTCATTCTTTTATTTTCGTTCAAACAAAGAAAAATACATTCAATTCATATTTAAATCTTTCAAATCTCCATTCTTTTCTCCGGAATATAAAAATCCAAATTTCAATTTTTCATTTCTTATTCTACATTCCCGTTTCACAGGCAAAAGTATTCAAAGATTTTTATCCTCTTCGTTTTTCAATCTTTGTTCATTTCGGACTTCAATTTTTATTTCTATTTTTCTTCGATTTAGAAAATTAAATTATCGATTAATTATAGTAATTTATATTGCTGTGAAATTACAATTTAGCGTTAAATTTTATTCTATTCTTTGGAATTTATAGATTCTAGAACTCTCTTGAATTATATTTTCTCATTTAAAGTAAATGACTATGCTAAAAAATTTTCCTTTAAGCAAATTTAACAATTACAATTTTTCATGTTTTCAATAAAAAAATTTTCTCTCATTCATATTAATTTTAAACTTTAATTGATTCAATAAATATCTTTTCTTTTATTTGGTTGTATATGTAATTACTCTCTAGATTTATAATCATTACAGCTTTTTTAATAGTCCCTCTCCTAAAAAAATAAATACACTACTGTACGTTAAACATATTCGTTCGTCTTTTTACAAATCTTGATGTAAATATCTCTGAATTGACAATCTTAAAATGTTTCAGACATCAAAAGACACACATTTCTCACACAGGATTTAAGTATTCACTTGCAGTAATGGAAATGTTCTATACTTAATGATTTTCAATCAGGAAGAGTAAATCAACATCGCAGATCAACTATAAATGACAAGTATACTATACAAAAGCTTGTATAAAACCTAGATTTTTCGCCGTTATAAAGAGAGAACTCATTTGTCAAATGCATGAATGACAATGCTGTTAAGATGGAGAATAAGTGTCAATGTTCATTGGCTGTGAAGAAACATGTGCAGGATAAAAGCTAAACCTGGTTAAACCCTTTCACCTATAATGATATTGGTTTTATACGGATAATAATTTTGATATTTATTTTTCGTTGATATTTTTGGAAATCAAACAACAATATCAAACATGTTAATCCTAAGAGTAACAAATTTTAATTGAATACATTTGATAAATTGTTTTACAAAATATTAATGAACACAAACTAGATAAAGTCAAATCTATAAGTTATTAATGCACTTTATAATATATAAATTAATACAGTAGACACTTGATTTAACGGATAAAGGAAAAATTGAAATGCCTTTGTTTTTAGAGTATGCTAAAAGATTGTATCTGAGTCAACGAGTATACTTATACATTATATAAATAATAGCATTTTAATAATCCTGTACGTTGTAAGTTCGGTTTAACTGATTCTAGGCAATAACGGACACCGCCTTACTCCAATTAATCAATCGAGGCCCTACTTAGTTTCATTTTTTGCGAATTTTGTAAATACATCTTTAATAATATACTGTAACAATATTCTAAAATGTATTCTAAAGTGATTTTATATATTTAAACTTTTCTTTATCTACGCTAAAGTTACATACTATATAAAACATTTTAAATATGAAAAGTTGTAGGTAACCTCTCAAAGATATTTTGTAATAAACATCAAAATAGAGTTAGTCGGTTATAAGTTTTCATTTTGTCGAAAGTCATAACGCTAAGTTGACTAAACGATCTTTCAAGGAGTTTCAATTCCTGCTAGTGTATTGTATAGCGCTAGAAGTCAAAGTAGGTCAAGAAGAGAACATTTGTCAATATACGAGCTATGAAGTGAGGCAGGAGAACTTCAGCTTTCTGCAAGTGACTACCAACGTAATTAAGCAACGTTTTCTTCCCTGCAATAATATGATTTAACATGGAAGGGATGCAATCTTCTCATATATTAATCATATTCTAATAAATTAGCATTGAAGTTTAATTAAAACCCATTTGAGTTTTCAATTATATCATCGATAGGAAATTGTAAAGTTATTTTTCACTACACGATTCATTATATCACGATTATCGATGAAAGATAAATGTTTTATTTTGAAGTTTTCTAATTAATAATATATGCGAGATTCTACTGTTACTTGTCACGAAACTATTTTAATATGGAATTAAAATTAAAATTTTAATTTATTCCCTCTTGTCATTCAGATTTTTAATAAGAAAACTGACCATTTGTTCGATTTCTAATCTCATTCTAATTCGTAAAATAAAGAAAGTTCGAATATAATATTTATGAAGAAATACAGTCAAACCTCCGAATGACGGCCAGTGATGGGGACGTAAAAATGGCCGTTGTTTGGAGGTTATTTTGTACGCTTGTAAGCATTTTTTGTTAAAAAAATGGTTACTGTTTAGAGGTGGTCGTTATTGGGAGGTTCAACTGTATTCCTCCTTTCTACTGACAAAGAGAGGTGATAAAAGTATTGCTTCGAATTTAAAACTCATTCTAAATTTAAGAAAGAATTTTTAGAAAAAACTTTAATGAATTTACCAGAATCTATCTATTAGAGTGGAAACGTTGATAATGTATTTAAAATAAAGTATAATTGATTTACCGATTGATTAATTGATTAAAGCGAGACACTCATTGTAAGCTACTTAGCAAGCCACAATTATACCCATTACAGGTGAGTCTAATCCGCATGAATGAGTAGAGAATGATACTCTGGTTCGTACCATTAAGACAAATTATAGGGGGGTTGGATTAGGTTTAATGTATAATAAACTATATATAATAAACAAGAAATAATGTAAAATTTTTATAGAAATCTCAAAAGAGTGACAAAAAATATCCCAAATTTAAGAAAAATCTGAACTCCAACTCACCCCAATTTTAATTTTTTAAAATAGAGTAATAATATATGTAAATAATAATAAAATTGATTAATATAGTTAACTAGTTGATATACAGTAGAACCTCGATTATCCGCCCTAATTGGGGACTGGGGTTGGTCGGATAATTGAAAAGTCGGATAACCGAAAAGTATGAAAAAATCCATTATTAGTGTAGTATATTATTATATCCCATGTAATTAGTATATTAGTATATTAGTATATCGCTATTAACCTATTTTGCGTTGAATTTTCATCGATGTTAAGCCTAACAAAAATTTTTTAAAATAATAATCGTCGCTATTGTATCGTTAAAAATTAGAAAATTAAGCTTCGTTTAAATACTGGCTCCCTTTCATGGTCGAATGAGTGTTGCCAGCTAAAACACGTAAAAATAATATTAAAGTAGCCAAGACATAGCCAAATATTGTAGCGCCACATCACTAGCGGACATTTGAAATTTACCGACTAGGACGGTCGGTTAACCGAGGGGTCGGTTGATCGGGGGGCGGATAATCGAGGTTCTACTGTACAAAAGATATTTTTATTGTTAAATAAATTAAAAAATCTATAAAATTATTAGAATAAAAGAATTATATTTTGTTAAAAATATAATTTCATAATTTAACGAACTGAAATTTTATAAACTATTTAAATTATTAGTTTGTATATAAATGAATTTAAATGTTAGTAAATCATAATAACTGAATAAGTCAGTTATCTCTTACTAAGTACTTTAAGTACTTTATCTAATAATGAATTTGTTACTGTTTCTGTTAAATTAAACTTGTTCATAATTTCAAGGTGAAAATCACCTGAGAGTTCTTAAGTTTTCCTCTTTGAATTTAATTTATACGAAATTTAATTAAGTACAACACTCTGTTTTGTATTATTATTTATTGTTAATTAAAAATTAGATAATTAATTGTTTAATATTCTTGGTTTTACTCTCAAAATAATAGAGAAATTAATAATCAATTCTTAAATATTGTCTAATTTTAATCCTAATTTTGAGATTTCCTATATCTTTTATTGCAAACATAACTCGAATTATTCTCTTATATTCTTAAATTAATCTTAAATAAATATAAAAACTTATAATCTTCAATTAAAAGAATTAATATATTAAAATAAAAAATCAAATTTAAAAGATGTGTATTTAAAATTTCTATTAAAAACAGGAAAATTCTAATAATAAACAATTTATATGATACTTTTCTAATGATTAAAAATTGTTTAATTATTCTAAAAGTTCTAATTTGCAAATTGTACTCATAAATGTAATGATGTTTACGTATACAGTCAAAC